GCTATGTCTACACTGGCGAGTTGTTGCACCAGAAGTATGCAAATGAAGCTAAGTGTGGAATATCTCTGAGCCTCATTTGCATACCTAATGAGCCACCATTTTTGCGAAAGATGGATTTTCCTGAAAATAATCAGCGTGGCGGCATTGTGCAAGAGGGTTTTTCGTGTGCAAGAAGGGGCATTGTAGACAGTTCCTTCTAGCGCAAGAGCCTCTTCTGCAAAAATGGCGGCTCATTAGGTATGCAAATGAGGCGCGGCGATATTCCACGCTTAGTCTCATTTGCATACTTCTGGTGCAACAACCCGCCAGTGTAGACAGAGCCCCAGTGAGGAGGGCTTTAAATTAGGATTGAAGGGGCTAGATGATAAAAAACAATAGATAGGTTGAAAAAACATGGAGACTTATGAGAAGGGTTGGAATGGAAGCTGCCAGAACTGCAAGCATGAGTCAGGCAGCTCCTATTGGCTGGTTCCAGCCCCAGGTGAACACATGCTCTACTGTCATTTCTCACTAACTCCAGTGAGATGGGAGAGATTCGGAGAACGGCACATGGTTCCATAGCTGGTCATTTTGAACAATGTGTGGGGGTGTAACAGGCAGGGAGCCTATCTGAGGGTATCTTTGGGGGTGGGATAGATTCAAAGGTTTGGCATTCTGGATCCAGCCTGTGGGTCATATTTTGCCCATTCCTGATTTACATGCACAAGCTCACTATTTTAAAAGCCCCTCCTCCAATCTCAAACTAAAACTTGGTTCCATAGCTGGTCATTTTGAACAATGTGTGGGGGTGTAACAGGCAGGGAGCCTATCTGAGGGTATCTTTGGGGGTGGGATAGATTCAAAGGTTTGGCATTCTGGATCCAGCCTGTGGGTCATATTTTGCCCATTCCTGATTTACATGCACAAGCTCACTATTTTAAAAGCCCCTCCTCCAATCTCAAACTAAAACTTAATTGAAATTGCTGCGAGTCCCCTGCTTTCACAATAAATCTGCAAAAATGAAAATTTTCAGATTTTGATCCAAAACATTGGGGCTTTAATATTGTAATTCCATGCAAAGATGAGAAAATCTCTACTTTGAAAAGCCAATGGGACCACTCATTTCAATAAAATAACTTCTGACATGTGTATTTGCAAAACAGTGCTCATATTTTGGCTTATGTTTGTTCATGCAATGCTACATGCAGGTTTTTTACAAAACATTTGTGAATGGTGATTTCTTGATGAACCTGGTCAGTTTTAAATATATAAATAAAACTGAGTAAACTTAAGTAGTTTTAGGTTTAAATGTAGTGATTTCACACACAAATAGAGATTGTTATTAGTCACTAATATAATTGTCATATAAAGCTAATATTTTGTATTGGTAAGCACTTGCTAAAACATAAAATGAAGAAGTATATAAAAATTACAGGAAATTTTGTTTCTTCCCCTGCTTGATGATAATCACCCATTACAATATTGTACAGTAAAATGCTCCAGTCAAGTAAGGGGCCATAGCCAAAAATTATTAGCATCTGTTCAGTTTCAACAAACATCTGTTTTGTTTGTCATTATATCTCAGAGGGTCATTGATATTTTTGTGGCAGAAATCTAGCAAGATTGAGGGCAGTTAAGTCATCCCATGTCTCAAAGCTGCTTAACTATATTGAAATGACAGATAGTTAATTATCTGAGCTTGCAGGGTAGAGAGCATAGGGAGAAAAACAACTTATGAAATGTAGATAAATGCAGAGGTTCAATATCATTTGGTTGTTCTTTACTGAGCTATGCTATCTTAGGAAGAGTTGTGATCGTAAACTCTGGCACAATAGGAAATAATTATGCAAAGCCAAAATTCCTTGATTCATTAAATATCTTGCTAAATGAGAGGTATTTATGGCAGTGTTATTTTTAATGTCTAATGCTGTTAAAATTATATACTATATGGTGTCAGCTTTATATATCTTACAAAATATATTTATGGGTATATAAAATACATTTCTACATGGAGGACTTCAAGGAAATCTCTTGGCAGTGTAGCTCACTGGCACTAGCAATAGTGGGACTGATAGTATAAACCAGTAACCAGCTTTCTTTACCACCAGGGCAGTTACACAGGGCATACTAGCACTCCTGTTATTATTGTGCACCAGTGAAGTTGTGTTGGTGCTAAAATAAGAGTGAAAGAAGTCCCTCAGTGTGCACAAAGTTGTCTGTTTCCAGGTATTTGGGTGTGTATTAGGGCTGTCAAGCAATTAAGATTCAATGGTACAGCACTGCATGGAGCCCGGGATCAGCTAGAGTCCCCAGCTGACCCCAGGCTCCATGCAGTGCTGCCCCTTTGAAGCGCAACACGGAGCCCAGGATCAGTTGGAGTTCCCATCTAATCCCGGGCTCTGCTTTGTGCTACCTATTGGAAACGCCACCCCGGCACCTCAAAGGGGCAGCACATTAGGAGCCTGGGATCAGCTGGAGTGCCCAGCTGACCCTGGGTTTCACTGCCACGGGGAGCCCAGGATTAGCTGAGAGTCCCAAGCTGACCCTGGGCTCCACGGCTCCCCTTTAAAATGCCACCTTTGTGCTGCTGCCCCTTTAAAACACTACTTCCACATGCATTTGAAGGGGCAGCCCAGAAGCCCGGGATCAGCTGGGGAGTCCCTCATCTGACCCCGGGCTCCACTGCCCCTTTGAAACACATGGAGGTGGCATTTCTGAGGGACAGCCACTGCACAACTAATCCCTTGCTCAGCTGCGAGGTGGCTGCTCCTTTGAAACATCACCTCTGTGTGTTTCAAAGGTGCAGTGGAGCCCTGGGTCAGCTGGGGAGTCCCCAGCTGATCCCAGGCTCCGCGTTGCACTGACCCTTTGAAGCGCCACAGCAGCACTTCGAAGGGTCAGCGCAGCATTAATGCCTGCGATTAATGCGTTAAAAAAAATAACGAGCTAATCCTGGACTGTGTTAATCTCAGGTGTTAACATGTCAGTTGACAGCCCTAGTGTGTATAAATATATGTACTTTAATAGAGCTGAATGGGTAATGCAAACAATTTCCCTAAATACTCATCAATATTTTTGAATTAATTCTATTGAGCTATGCTCATTTGAGCAATCAAAATGACATCTGCATTTTCAGAAAGTCATCTGCAATGTCACAGTCACAAGTATTCATGGACACTGAATTTTAAATTCACACACACAAGTATTTGTGTTGGAAGTGATTGCATTGCTTATCTATTCAAAGAGGAGAAGCCTGTGACATATGTGACCAAAGTCAAGGAGCAAATTACAAATTGTAAATATACTGTGTATTTGATATTCCGCCTTTGCAAACACTCCATTGTGTAACAGAGAACTTGCTGAATAAATTAATTGTTCAATTTACTAAATGTTTTATTCAGCTTTATATTAAAGCTGTTTGTTCATCTATATATGTATCTGTATGCAGTGTAATAGAAAATATTACTTAAAAATGTATATTTTAATCAAGTGTCATTCATTTTATAATAGTTCTTAATTCTGAGAATAAAACAACTATTTAATTTCTGTATTTGAATACCCGTCTCTAATTAATAGTTATTCTCATTTTTTGTGCTCAGATGTAGCAAAGGACTTAAGCACATAACATTTCATTACTTTAATGGAATGCTTTAAAATGAAGCTTATGCTTAAGTGCTTCATCATAACAACACCTTAAATATTAAAGGCAAGAGTGTAGATTTAGAACCTGCCTTTAGTAAGGAACAGGGCTTAGCAACACCATCAGAGCAGAGCAGACAATTAACTGTGACTCAGACAGTAATGTGCTCTTTGCCTCCCCTTTTGTAATCTGTTATTGGTCTATACCAGAAGCCAGTCACTTCAGCCTCCACACTGTCTCAAATTTGCTGACTAGTTTTCAGGAGCGGGTCAGTCAATCCCCCCAGACCCTGCTTGCTCACTTACACAAGAATGGAATAGTATTTCCACAGTAGTTGCTATCCTTCCCACATGGTGCCCCACTTTTTTGCACATGCAGAGGATTGACACTCTCCTGCACCTTCTTATTCCACTACATGGTATTGTAAGGGCATGTCACAATCCTGCCATAAGGAATTTATAGATTAACTGAAGTGTGGAGGGCCACATTTTCAATGTGAAAGATTATAGAACATAAAGACCTCAGTCTGAAATACTAGAAAATATAATTAAAGTTCTGCATAGCCATGTTTATAGGGTCAAGTTCTAACTTAGATTTCCTGTTAGTTCTGTCCTCCCCCCTTCGCTGTGCACTAGTGTTTAGGGTGACAGTTCCATAGCTGTGCTGATAAAACTTTTGGTTATGAAATTATCTCAGCCTTTATTCTTATGCTAAGAGAAGCCCAGAGCTGTGTCTGTGAAGCCTGAAATTTGTACTGTTTCCATAATATATGTTTCTGTTATCTCAGATAAACTTTGGTCATTAATGTAGATTTAAACTATAAAACAATCTTTGCAGGAAAACAGGATATTTTTACTCATAGAAAATTTGCACCCTAATTGGATTTGTCTGTTGTAAAGATTTATAATCCACTTAAGAGAGATTATGCCTGGTAATTTTATGAACATTTAGTCTCTCAAAAAGAAGAGCTACAGGCATTAAACTCTCTTCACTAAGCAGTTTAGATTGGATTTAAACTGCTATTCCAGATGCAAAAGGCCAATATTCCATCCACTTAAATTGATTTTTTTAGGTGCATTATAAGGAAGTAGAATTTCATGTACAGAATAATGCTGCACTTCTTACTCGAGTAATGCTTTCGTTGTCAGTGGGAGTTTTTTTTTCCTGAATAAGAAATGCATTATTGGGCCTACTGCTGGAGTAGAAATTCTAAACCATATTATTATTTTATATATTTTAATTAATGCAATTAGGATATATTTTCTATTTAAAAGGTCTGGAGACTGTGCTATAATATAAATTATTAAAGTTCACAGTGTCTTTCAAAAAGTATTTTTCTTTTTTCCTTTGTTTTGTTTTGTTTGTGTTTGTTTTCAACTAGGACCCCTACTATGGCTGGTGGCCTATTTTCTATTGACAGAAACTACTTTGAAGAGATAGGAACTTACGATGCAGGAATGGATATCTGGGGTGGAGAGAATCTTGAAATGTCTTTTAGGGTAATTCCCATTTTACTTCATTTTCTGACAATCAACAGTTATTCTATAATGGCATGTACATTGCAGATGAGGCACTTCTGTTTTAGCTAAAATGCAAGTTCTGGATTATTTTAAAATTCTAAAAATAACTACAGATGCCTTCCTTCTATAACTACAGATGCCTTCTATTCTTTTTAAATATGAGCCATGCTCTCTGCGGAATTTCATATCCTGCAGCATAGTGACTTGATTTCTGTCAGATACAGGCGTTTTGCCACCAACAAGAATAAAATCTCTTTGAATGAAATGCATTTATTTTGTAAATTACCTTTTAAATCAAATGAAAATTGGAAAATTGAGGCTTTGATGAATAAATGATTAGGAAAGATGTGAATAATAAATATGATATGATGTATTGCAGTTTTTACAAGGCAGAGTAGTGTGCAAAATAAAATAAAATTTCTATCCATAAAGTTTTGTCAAGCAGACATCATTGCTTCTAGAAGATATCAATGGAGACTTTGGCAGTATCTTAACTACATAGTGTTAAAGCATACATATTTTATTCAGTGAAGTAGGAAAAAAATTATATCCTTCTAAGTTTCTTTTGCCTTGAGTCTTTTTGCTTTAAAGTATCAGATGTGAGAGAGAGAGAGAGAGAGAGAGAGAGAGAGAAATGTACTTTGTGCTGGGTACAAAGGAGCAGACAGTCTCTACGGGTCGCCAAGCAAGGTTGGGGGGACGGCTCCGTGCTTGGTGAAAGGGGAGGAGCCGAGGGAAGCCGGCCCTCAGCACTCCCCAGAGCAGGGTGATGCCCCTGCAGTCATTAGCATTGCCCAGAGCATGTGGCACAGCACTCCAGCAGCAATCTAAAGGACCTGGGGCTCTAACTGCCGCTGCTGCTACTTCAGCAGTGACAGTGGCCAGAGCCCTGGTCATATTTGAATTGCTGGGCCTCGGGACACCTGTTCCCTTTACCCCTTCATCCTCCCATTGGCTGGGTATAAATGTAAATTAATGTCTGAGATTTATAATGAGTAGTCTTAACCCATAGAACAGGCATTTTGAAACTAAAATTGCTGATGTGAATTAAACCATGGCCCAGTGAACCTGGACACAGTATTCTATAATTGTTAAAGAAAAGCCTAACAGATATTCCTATAAAAACTTAAGAAACAATGAATAGTCTAGCAGCACCTTAAAAACTAACAAAACATGCAGATGGTATCATGAGCTTTCGTGGGCACAACCCACTTCTTCAGATGACTGGAGTATTAAAAGTCCAGATCCAAGAATAAAAAAGGGAAGTGGGGAGGAAAGAGAGGGGGAGAAGAAAAAAATAGTGAATTGGATTGTTCAAGTTTCAAGAGGCTGATAAGAACAATTTGCACCTCTATAAGTACCAGTTGGTTGGTTGGTTAAGTCATTAGGATATGGAAGGTAGTGTGCGAGCCAGCCAATATCCTTGTTCATACCATTTGCATAAGAATTAAACTTGTAAATGAAGTTAAGTTCCAACCCTTCTCTGTGGATTTGG